CAGTGAATGAATTTCTGCGAGTGGCTTAGTCACTCTGCGTATATTCGTAGTGGATTGGGTCTTCACATTGTGGTCTGTGGTACACTCACACAGGGTACAATGGCTTTGACCTTCCCATGAGTCTGTGGCACACTCACTAAGGATTCAGTGGCTTTGGCCTTCCCATTGAATCTGTGGCACACTCACCCAGAGTACAATGGCTTTAGCCTTCCCATAGAGTATGTGGCAAACTCACCAAGGATACAATGGCTTTGACCTTCCCATGAGTCTGTGGCACACTCACTAAGGATACAGTGGCTTTGGCATTCCCATTGAATCTGTGGCACACTCACCCAGAGTACAATGGCTTTGGCCTTCCCATTGAATCTGTGGCACACTCACTAAGGATACAGTGGCTTTGGCCATTCCATGGAGTATGTGGCACACTCACTCAGAGTATACTGGCTTTGGCCATGCCATGGAGTATGTGGCACACTCACTCACTCAGGGTACAGTGGCTTTGGCCTTGCCATGGAGTATGTGGCACACTCACTCACTCAGGGTACAGTGGCTTTGCCCTTGCCATGGAGTATGTGGCACACTCACTCAGGGTACAATGGCTTTGGCCTTCCCATTGAATCTGTGGCACACTCACTTAGGATACAGTGGCTTTGGCCATTCCATGGAGTATGTGGCACACTCACTCAGGGTATACTGGCTTTGGCCTTGCCATGGAGTATGTGGCACACTCCCTCAGGGTACAATGGCTTTGGCCTTGCCATGGAGTATGTGGCACACTCACTCACTCAGGGTACAGTGGCTTTGCCCTTGCCATGGAGTATGTGGCACACTCACTCAGGGTACAGTGACTTTGGCCTTCCCATTGAGTCTGTCACACGTTCACCCAGAGTACACTGGCTTTGGCCTTCCCATTGAGTCTGTCACACGCTCACCCAGAGTACACTGGCTTTGGCCTTCCCATGGAGTATGTGGCACACTCACACACAGTACAGTGGTTTTGGCCTACCCATGAAGTATTTGGCACACTCATCCAGAGTACACTGGCTTTGGCCTTCCCATGGAGTATGTGGCACACTCACACACAGTACAGTGGTTTTGGCCTACCCATGAAGTATTTGGCACACTCATCCAGAGTACACTGGCTTTGGCCTTCCCATGGAGTATGTGGCACACTCACCCATAGTACAGTGGCTTTGGCCTTCCCATGGAGTATGTGGTACACTCACCTAAGGTACAATGGTTTTGTTATTTCACTTGAGTATTTGGCACACTCACCCAGGGTACAATGGCTTTGGCCTTCCCATGGAATACGTGACACAATCACCCAGAGTACAGTGGCTTTGGCCTTCCCATGGAGTATGTGACGCACTCACCCAGAGTACGGTGGTTTTGGCCTTTCCATGGAATATGTGGCACACTCACCCAGAGTACAGAGGCTTTGGCCTTACCATGGAGTATGTGGCACACTCACCCAGAGTACAGAGGCCTTGGCCTTCCCATGGAGTATGTGGCACACTCACCCAGAGTACGGTGGTTTTGGCCTTTCCATGGAATATGTGGCATACTTATCCAGTGTACAATGGCTTTAGTGTCACCATTAGGTTCATGACACTCACACCCAGGACACAGTTGTATTGACTTCTCCATTGAGTATGTGGCACATTCACCCAGAGTACAGTGGCTTTGGCCTTCCCGTTGAATCTGCAGTATTCGTTCCTGGGGTAGGGCCACTAAACGCCATGTCCTGAGACCAGTGCCGACAATCACTACTGCCGAAGATCGGTGACGATATAGGGATACACAA